CCATTTCTGATGAAGGGTCTAGGCCCGAAACGTCAGCCTTCCTGCTCCTATGATGCTGCTTGGCCTGCTGTGTTCATCCAGCTCTGCACCTTGTTGTCTGTGATAAAATAAGGCTCTGAAAGAGGTTAATGTATAGTTTCATCTGCATAGCTTTGTTTTATATTACCAGATAACCATGGTGTGGAAAACCAATATCTGTTTCAGGAAATAGGGATGATCTGACATTTACAACAAGATTGCCGTTTATAATTTAAAATGTTATTAACCATGTGAAATTTATTTTCAACTGACATAAGCGAACTAAGAATTTGTGACATAAATGTTTTCGTTTTTTTTCATTTATTCATGGAATGTGGGTGTTGCTGGCTGGCCTGCATTTAATGCTCATCCCTAGTTGCCCTTGAGAAGATGGTAGTAAGCTGTCTTCTTGAACCGTTGAAGTCCACACACTGTAGGTTGAACCACAATGCTTTTTAAGGATTATTTCCAGCATTTTGATTGAGTGACAATAAAGGAATGGCGATATGGCTCCAAGTCAGGATGGTGGCTTGGAGGGGAACTTGCAGGTGATGGTGTTCCCAATGTGTTTGCTGCCCTTGGCCTTCTAGATGGAAGCGGTCATGGGTTTAGAGCGTGCTGTGTAAGAATCTTTGGTGAATTTCTACAGTGCATCTTGTAGATAGTACACATTGCTGCTGATTGCTGGGGTGGAGGGGCGGATGTTTGTCGATGTGGTACCAATCAAGTGGGCTGCTTTATCCTAGATGATGTCATACTCTTGATGAGGGCATCACTGGCCGGGTCAGCATTTATTGCCAACCACTAATGACCCAGAGGAAAGTTAAGAGACAACTACATTGCTGTATCTCTGCAGTCAGATGTAGGCCAGAATTGGTCAGGGTGGCAGATTTCCTTCATTAAAGGACATGAGTGATGGGTTTTTCCTCAACATTCGGACAATCCATCTCATTGGGAGGGTCATTGCTTGGCATTTGTATGATGTGACTGTTACTTGCCACTTGTCAGCCCAAGTCTGATATTGACCAGAACTTGTTGCATTTGAACAAAGACTGCTTCAGTATCTGAGGAGGCACCAATGGTCCTGAACATTGTGCAATGATTGGCAAACATCCCCACTTCTGATCTTATGATGGAGGCATTGTCGTTGATGATGCAGCTGAAGATGGTTGGGCCAAGGACACTACCCTGAGGAAGTCCTGCAGAGATGTCCTGGAGCTGAAATGACTGACCTTCAATAACCACAACCATCTTTCTATGTGCCAGGTATGACTCCAACCAGTGGAGAATTTGCCCCCTGATATCCATTGAATCCAGTTTTGCTAGGGGTCCTTGATGCTACACTTAGTCAAGTGCAGTCTTGAGGTCAAGGGCTGTCACTCAAATCTCACCTCTGGAATCCAGCTCTTTTGTCCACGTTTGAACCAAGGTGGTTTTGCGGTCAGGAGCTGAGTGGCCCTGGCGGAACCCAAACTGTGCATCACTGAGCAGACCTTTGCAGAGCAGGTTATTGCTTGATAGCACTGTTGAGGATGCCATCCATCTTTGTTAAACAGAATGCATTGAAATGTTTTGTGAAAAGATCAGTATATACGATCATGACATAAATACACATTTCACCTGCAATTCCTTGTTAAGGCAATGGTATAGTTCTCCAAAATAGAGGGAGTGGAAGGATACAACTATGCAATAAGGATGAATCATAGAAAATATGAGCTAAGATCTCAGCAATTTATGTGGGCAAAAGTTATTTTTGTTTCAACTTTTCTGTTTCTATTGATTTGTCAATGACAAATACGCTTAATTTCCCCATATCCAGTGCAGCTCCAGTGTGCAACTGTGGATCCAAAGCACAGCTGCAGCCCCAATTCCCAGCTCATCCATGCTCAACTGCAGCCCAGCTCCTAGCTGCTGCTCTAATTCTCAGATGTTAAAAAGATTAATTCATGGGATATTGGCTTTGCTGGCTGGGCCAGCATTTATTGGTTACCTGTGTTTTCCCTTGAGAAGGTGGTGGTGACCTGCCTCTTGAATTGCTGCAGTCCATTTGGCGTAGGTGCTCTTTAAGAGGAAGTTCCAGTATTTTGATCAAGCGACACTGAAAGGATGGTGATATTCTTCCAAGTCAGGATGTTGAGTGGAGGGGAAATGCAGGTGCTGGTATTCCCATTTATCGGTTGCTCTTATCCTTCTAGTTGGTAGTATTTATGGATTTGGAAGGTGCTGTCTAAGTAGCTTTGATGAATTTGTGCATTGCATCTTGTAGATTGTATACACGACTGCTTCTGAGCACTGACAGTGGAAGGAATGAATGTTTTTGCATATAGTGCCAATCAAGTGGGTTGCTTTGTCTTGGATGGTGTCAAGCTTCTTGAGTGGTGTTGGGGCAGCACTTATCCAAGCAAGTGGTGAGTATTCTACCACATCCCTGACTTGTAGATGGTGGACAGGCTTTAGGGAGTCAGTAAGTGGGTTCCTTGCCACAGTACTCCTTGCCTCTGACCTGCTTTTGTCGCCACAGTATTTATGTGCAGAGTCCAGTTGAGTTTCTGCTCAGTGGTAACCCCAAGGATTTTGAGGAATTCAGTGAAAGTAATGTCGTTGAAAGTCAAAGGGTGAAGGTTAGATTCTCTCTTGTGGGATATGGTCATTGCCTCATATTTTGATCTACAGTCTTGACACATCCTGTTATGAATGGAGGAGGCTTCACAAGTATCCCCATCCTTAATGACTGGGGAGCCCAACACATCAGTACAAAAGATAAGGCTAAAGCATTTGCAGTAATCTTTGTCCAGAAGTGCTGAATGAATGATCCAGCTTGGCCTCCTCCAGAAGTCTCCAGTATCGCAGATGCCAGCCTTCATCCAATTCAGTTCGCTTATGTAAAAACCCAGTCATTAAGGATGGGGATATTTGTGAGGCCTCCTCCAAGACTTAGGTCTGATCTGTTGGTTGTGGGATTGCTGAGCTCTGTCTACCACTTGCTGCTTTTGCTGCTTGGCACTTGCTGTAGTCTTGTTTTGTAGCTTCACTAGGTTGACACCTCATTTTTAGATAGGCTTGGTGCTGCTCTTGGAATGTCTTCCTGCATTTTTCATTGAACCAGGGTTTATTCCCTGACTTCATGGTGATGGTACATGGGTGAAATATGTCAGGCAATAAGGTTGCAGATTGTGTTGGAGTACAATTCTGGTACTGATGGTACACTGTGCCACATAGATGCCCAACATTAAATTGCTAAATCTGTTCTTAGCCCGGTGATTGTGTCACATAACACAATGGAGTGTATTCTCAATGTAAAGACAGGACTTTATCTTCACAAAGATGGTCATGGGCATGTCAGCTGCAGCTCAGCACGAAGGAGCTTGGCGTAGTGCTGCAGCTAGGCATGGGAACAATGCAAGGGGTGTAGCTAGGTATTGGGGAGCTTGGAAAGGAGCTGCAGCTGTGCTATGAAGAAATATACATAGGGTGTAGTTAGGCATTAGGCTAGACATCATCCTTGTCCTGCTACAGCCCTATGCTCAGCTCCCCGATGCCCAGGGGTCACAAACCCTAAGCTCAATTTCCTCATGCCAGGCCAGAGCTCTACGTCCAGCTTTGTCATGCCCAGCTGCAGCCACAAGCCCAGCTCCCCTGTGCTGGACTGTTGCCCCATGTCTAGCTTCTCCATACCCAGCTGTAACCTCATACCCAGCAGCAGTTGCCATGCTCAGCTCTCCCATGCCCAGCTGCAACCTCATACCCAGCTGCAGCTGCCATGCTCAGCTCTCCCATGCCTAGCTGCACCCCCATGCCCAGCTCTCCCATGCCTAGCTGCACCCCCATGCCCAGCTGCAGCTGCCATGCTCAGCTCTCCCATGCCTAGCTGCACCCCCATGCCCAGCTGCAGCTGCCATGCTCAGCTCTCCCATGCCTAGCTGCACCCCCATGCCCAGCCCTTGTGTCCAGGTGCAGCCCCGTGCCCAGCTGCACGAGAGAGAAGGTCTTCGCGCGCCAGGTCTGCCTGTTACCCATGATGCTCCGAGGACGTCCCCAGTGCGCAGCTGCGGCAGCGGCAGCGGCAAAAAATATCATAATAATGTTGGCGGATGGCCGGTATTAAGAATTTGCGCGTTTAGGCCGCAGAGAAGCAGGCGGTGAGTCACTCTTTCTGACGGGTATTTTGATTAGGGAGGTTCAGAACCGTGTGCGGATAGCTTCGGGCTCGCAGCGGCCTGTGGGAGTTGGCTGGGTAGGTCGGGGCCTGCCGAGCGGGCGGCCTGACCACCGGCGCCATGTTTGCTGTTGTCGCTTCGCATAGAAGAACTGGACGGACGGCGAGATTCAAGGCGAGGCCTCTGGGCGGGCCGGCCACTTATTAATTAGCACTTCATTCGCTTTATTGTGCCATCTGTCATGTCGTGGTCCCCTCCCCGAGACTTTTTTTTTCCCTGATCACAGTCAGTTCGGATGGATTTTTCGTTGTTGTGGCGAAGATTATTTATCGGAAGCCGCCCGCTGCCAGCAGAAAATAGAAGGGCAAAGAAAGAGCTCAGGGATGGGCGATTCGAGATCGGTCCCCCACTCTTTACAGGCGCCTGTGGTGTACCAGGCGAGCAGCAGCTGTTTCCTAACATCGCTGGCTCTTAAAAAAAATATACGCACACGCTTTACTCAACTGTTTACCACAACCTAATGCAACTTACATGATACAAAAGGAGCAACACACGTGCGTTTATTCCTTTTTTGACAGTTACGTCGTGTTCTTTCACGTCTTGTATTTCCAAAATTTGAAGGCGAAGAATTAGAATAAAAAAAAGTGGCAGATGGTCACTTTCACCGCATACGATTTCTCCCTAAAATGTCAAATGTTCACTTACATTGCATGAAACTTTATTTGATTACTTATTTTAATATTGTTGCCTTTATTTTGTAAGAGTTTCTTTTTTATAAAAATGTTGACCCCTGAGCCAAGGCTTCAGTCCGTACACTTAAACAACTGTATGAATTTACTGTAGTACCTAGGTTCAAGGCATTTTCATGCTTTTCTTTCTGTAGGTTGCATGTGTTTTGGAGAATTAAAATCACTCGCATTTGCCTTTGTATTACATTATTTAAACTGCCTCTTAAACTAGCATTAATCCTAAAACGATTTCTGTAGAAGAGTCTAGGCCCGAAACGTCAGCTTTCCTGCTCCTCTGATGCTGCTTGGCCTGCTGTGTTCATCCAGCTCTACACCTTGTTATCTCATTAATCCTAAAAAGTTTTTTTAATTGCCTTAAAGTTAAAAGATTGCTAAAAGTAGGTAGCACTTCCTTTTACAGAAGGTAGGTAGTGCTCCTCTATTTATGCTGAAATAAGGGCTAAGTATTTGAGTTAGTTATTAAGATATTTATTATAGGGCTAGGACTATAATTTCATTCATAATTTGTTCCTAACATTATAGACACTTTTATAATTTTCCAAAAGTACTGTAGTTGAGAGGAGGTTACAGGTTATGATGATCCAATACCTGAGTAGTTGACAACATGGGTTCAGGAAAATCTTTGCAGTGAATCAAGAACTGAATTTATGGTGAGATGTTGGATTTTGTTTACAGTCAGTCAATTCCTCGTGATCTTGCAGAATATATTACAAGTTTTTGTTCTTTGCTGGACAATAGTAGGATGAGACACTGCAAAAGATACTCGTATTTTGGGATAACTTTATTGAAACTTGGCCACAGTATTGATTTTTTTTTGTTTGAAGAGCATGATTACAGATGCAGTATTTGACTGAGATGCTTTTCACGCTTTTATTTTAATATTACTTCTGGGAGTTGAATGTTGCTGGCAAACTCAGTGCTTTCTTGCCATTCCTATGAGGCCATGAATGTCCTTTGTGAAGCATTTTAGGGTTTTCTAAGATTTTGACCCAGTGAAGTGACCGAAAATTGGAGGTGACATCTAAAGTTGTTGAAAAGATTTGTAGCTTGGGTTGTAGATGAGTGGTAGACTTGCTCGCCAAGCTGGTATGTTTGATTGCAGATGTTTCGTCACCTTGCTAGGCAACATTGTCAGTGCACCTCTGGTGACATGGTTCCAAATCAGGATGGTGCGTGACTTGTCAGCAGTGGTGTTCTTATGTAGGTGCTGCCCCTGTTCTTGTAAATTGTGGAGGCTGAGAGTTTCACAACTGTTGTTGGAGGAACTTTAGTGAGTTGTTGCACTGCTTTTTGTGAATGATGTGCACTGCTGCCAATGTATGGTGGTGTTTGAGGGAGTGCATGTTTAAAGTGGCATATGTGCTGATGAAGCAGGCTTTAAAGTTTTTTGAGAAGATTTGAGCCAAACACTGTGGCTCGGTGAGCAAGTCTGCAACCTGATGAAGCAGACTGATTTGTCCTCTTTGGTGTTGAGCTTCTTGAGTACTGTTAGATTGCATTCTGAAGGAAGCTGGAAGGTATAACATCATTTGGACACTTTTTGGCTTGAATTAAGTAATTTTTTTTTTTGGGGAATTATGTTCAGCAGTATGAGGCCTAAGACCTACCTGTGAATTATGGAAGTGAAATTTTTAATGTGTGCTACAAACCACTTGCAGTTTTTCTGGAAATCAAATGGTTTTCAAGAAGCAACCAAGTAAGGTAGGAAATTAAGAAATGAATATAATATCGTTGGGGGAACAAAACTGGCTTTGAGAGGACTAGGGGACCTATACTAATAGATGCCTAACAATGTTCTATGGTTTGAGAATTCTGATTCACAACCTAGCAATCAGTGATTTTGTGAGGACACCCCAGAATCTGCAGTCTCTCCTGAAGTCCTGCTTCTAGAATTCTTTGCTGATAAATGAATAGAGTTTCTAAATACTTGTATTTCTGTCTATGTAATGAAACCTGAGGTAGTAGACTGTAATCCCATTCTCAACAGCTGTAATCTCAGTTGATTGGAACAGACCTGGGCATTTATCAATTGACAGCTGTCACGATTTCAGCTGTGTTCAAAGGAAATTCAGTGGACGTAACAAGTTATTGTATTCTATCCTTTGTTACCAGACTTTGGTCTAAGGGAGTTGTCTTTTCCCTCTTTCATCTCTGTAGACACTTGTCTTTTTGTGTTGTGTGAATGTGTCTATATGTATGGCATTAAGGGGATATAGTTTTAATACCAGCTGAAAGCTTAAATGTTAATCAGTAGTTGCCACTTGCTTTATTTATTCATACTCGTTGGCTGTTTTTATGATTCATTCAAGAACTAGGTAGCAGTACAGAAGTGGGGAATTGGCCATTTTGGCAGGTAACTTAACGTTCACACCGTTGGTGTTAGTGGTTGAGTAGTGGGGCTTGATTATCAGAGCATTGCTCCTATCACCGTCATAAATGCTGAAATGGCACTCATCGAGGCAATTGAGAACAACATAAGAACATAGGAGCAGGAGTAGGCCATCTGGCCTGTCGAGCCTGCTCCGCCATTCAAAAAGAACATGGCTGTTCTTTTCGCAGACTCAGCTCCACTTACTCGCCTGCTCACCATAACCCTTAATTCCCATACTGTTCAAGGACATCCAAGAGAGAGTTTATCACTCTCCTGCTGCCTTATGGATGTTAGATAGGCTTTGGGGAGTCAAAAAATGAGTTTCTCTCTGCAGAATTCCCAGCTTCTGATGACTCCTGTGTTTATAATGCATGAATCATGATTAGCTGAATCAAAAATGGACTTGTATTGCAGGTGAGTGGTAAAATTTGAAGCAGAAGTAGAGATGAATGACCCCTCTTTTTAAGCAACTTGTTCAGAGATGTTGTGACACACATCTGGAGCAGATGGGACTTGAAACTGGGCCTCCTGGCTAAGAGAGATGGTCATTACTGCTGTGCCACAAGGGCTAGGATAAATGACCAGAAACGAAAAAGAATCAATATCACCTCTCTCAGATATTTCCACCAACAAGGATATGAATGAACACACTTGTGTAAGCAGCTGATCTGCCAAAATTAGATGGCAGTTCTGTTTTGCTTTAGGAACTACTTTAAAATCCACAATACAGCCTGACAGAAGGCTGACAATGAATCTGGCCCTGGTTGAATAGGCAAATTTCTGTTCTTATTGTTATTAGAGTCAGAGTCATACAGCACGGGAATAGGCTCTTCAGTCCAACTTGTGCATGCTGACCACGTGTCTCAAACTAAATTAGTGCCATTTGCCTGTGTTTGGCCTATATCCCTCAAAACCTTTCCTATTCATGTACCCGTACAAATGTCTTCTAAATGTTGTAACTGTACCTGCATCTACCATTCCTCTGGCAGATCATTTCACATTCAAACCTCCCTCTGTGTGAAAAAGTTGCCCCTCGGATCCTTTGTAAATCTTTCTCCTTTTACCTTAAACCTATGTCTTCTGGTTTTGAACTCCCCCCACCTTAGGGAAAAGACCTCGTGTTCCTGTGAAAAAAGTCCCATCCTATTCGGTCTCTTCTAACTCAGACTTACCAGTCCTGGTAACATCCTTGTGAATCTTTTCTTCACCCTCTCTGAGTTAATATCCTTCCCACAGCAGGGCAACCAAAATTGTACACAATACTTCTAATTTGGCTTCATGACATCCTGTGTAACTGCACCATGATGTTCCAGCTCTTATACTCAATGATCTGAATAATGAAGGCAAACATGCCAAACGCCTATTTCTTTACCACCCTGTCTACCTGTGACACAAATTCAAGGAACTCTATACCTGAACCCCTAGGTCTCTGTTTGACAGCATTCCCAGTGCCCTACAATTAACTGTGTAAGTCCTGCCCTTGTTCGTCTTACCAAAATGTAACACGTTACATTTATCTAAATTAAACTCCATCTGCCACTCCTTGGCCTGTTGGCCCAATTGATCAAGACCCCTTTGTAATCTTAATTTTGGGGTTATTTGCAAACTTACTAACCATGCTTCCTAATTTCTCATCCAAATTGTTTATATAAAAGACAAACAGCTGTGGACCCTGCACCTATCCCTGTGGAACACCACTGATCACAGGCTACTTGTCAGAAAATCAACCCTCCACCACCGCCACCACCACCACCTTCACTCTCCTCCTATCAAGTCAATTTTGTATCCAATTGGCAAATTCTCCCTGAATCCCATGTGATCTAACTTTACTAACCAGTCTACCACGTGGAACCTCGTCAAAGGCCTTACTAAAGTTCATGTCAACAATATCTACCACTCTGCCTCATCTCACTTCTTGGTCACACCCTCAAAAAAAACTCCGACAAATTTGTGAGACACGATTTCCCACATACAAGCGATGCTGACTGTCCGTAATCCGTCCTTGTCTCTCCAAATGCATGTCAGTCCTGTCTCTCAGAGTCCTCTCCAATAACTCATCCACCATTGACTTCAGACTCACTGGTCTAGTTCCCAGGCTTCTCCCTTGCAGCCTTTCTTAAATAACAGTACAACATTAGCCACGCTTCAGTCTTCCAGCATCTCACCCATGGCTGTAGATGATAAAAATATCTTCCCCAGCTTAGCACAATGTCCTGGGATACACTTGAGTAAGTCCTGGAGATTTATCTCCCTTTATGCTTTTTAAGGTCTCCAGCATGCTTTTGTAATATGGACTGTTTTCAAGACATCAATATTTATTTCCCCCAGTTCTCTAGCTTCCATGTTTTTGCCATGGTAAATACAGACAAGTACCTCTAAGTCCTTCTGTGTTGCAGCTTTTTGCAATTTTTCTCTAATCAAATCCTACTCTTCT